ATATGCTTTAATAATGGATAAAACTGTTTACATGAATGAAGTCAAGGGCCATTTGTGTCTTTTCATCCTATATTGAGTGCCTTTTCTCTTTCCTGATACCTGTGGGTAGAGGAAATGTATAGTACAAAGTGCACACTGCAAAATCAATCCATGCAGGACTGATAAGTCAATGGGCAACACTGGGAACTTAAGTTTTTTGTCATACATTGTCTCATGTACAACACATCCCTATTTTTTTCCAGAGAACACACAGGAATGGAGAACAAAGTGTTCCATCCCAACCTCATTATTCTTTTGGCAAACCCAATAAAATTCTCTCCTCCTACAGAATCTGACAGGCACACAGATGAATGCACCAGTTCCTAAAGAAATTCTTTCTTTACTGTTCTGACATACTGAGTGTCCAGGCTTGCAAAATACCAGAGTGGAATGTACCCTGGCCCTTGCCTATGCTGCTGGCTCCTGACTTCAGAGCAGCACAGCACCGGCTGTTGTGACCATCTGGGGAGTGAACAAATGGTTCTCTGTCTCTCTCTCTAACTCTGCTTCTCAAATAAATAAAATCTATAAATTAAAAAAAAAAAAAAAGAAGAAACCTGACAGAGTACTACAACCAAACCCACAGTCAGTCACAGGCAGGCATGGTCAATCAAAACTTAGACACAGAAAGCTAGAATTAATCAAACCCATACACACATAGCCACTCGAACCTGAGACAGACAAGTCAGAACAAATCTAAAGGAGAGAAAACAGCTCTGAGAGGCAGTAACACAGATGCAGCCATGGGCAATAAAACCTGAAACAGAGAGAAGGTAGAATCAGTTGAACCCACAGACTAACAGACGGGGTAAGGCCAATGAAACCTCAGACAGACATACAGAAGTCAGAAAGTGGCACAGAGGCAGCCATGAGCAATCAAACTTGAGACAGTTACAGAGAGAGGTAGAGACAGAGAGAGAGGTCTTCCATCCGCTGGTTCACTCCCTAGATGGCCACAACATCCACAGCTGAGCAGATCTGACCAGGAGCCGGAGATTCCTCCGGGTCTCCCATGCGGGTGCAGGGGCCCAAGCACTTGGGCCATCTTCTACTGCTTCCCAGGCCACAGCAGAGAGCTGGATCAGAAGAAGAGCAGCTGGGACTAGAACCAGCACCCATATGGGATGCCGGCACTGCAGCGGCGGCTTTACCCACTATGCCACAGCACTGGCACCATAAATTTATATTTTTCATTTCATTTCTTATTAATGTTGTGAAGTACACTGCCATTCTGCTGGGTATTTCAATTCAGAATAGTGTTACAATCCCAAGAGAGGCTCTCAGGGAAGTTTCCTGCTCACCCATCCATTCATTAAGCTGCTCAAGCTGCAACCATAGCAAGTTCCTGGGGACACTACAGGACCTTGTGCACTTGCTGCAACCACCTGGGAGACACACAAACCACATGGCTGAATCATATTTGTTTGCCAATCAATGGCAGAAAACTTTAAACAGTAAAATAACATGAGAGAAAACTGTTTATAAAGTTTTTCTCAGAGAAAATGCCTATGACAACTTGTAACCATGCATCTTCCAAATATTCCAAATGAGAACCGGTATGTTCTGAAGACTGTTTGAACTGTGAACACGTGATCTTTTTTGTATATCATGGGAGAAAACTTCCTGCAGCAAACGGATAAATGGTACACAGATGATAGAAAAATATCCATGAATGAAAGATATTTGCACTACTATGAGTATGACAGCTCAATTTATGATACCTCACATATAGAATCAATCAACTTATCCATCAACTCATGCTGAATTTTAAAATTCTGTTAAATATACACTAGGGAATACTACTCATGCATAAAAAGGAATGAAGCCTGTCTTTTTAAACAAATGGATGTGACTTGAGATCATGTTGCGTAATGAAATAAGCAGTTCCTAAAAGACAATATGTTTTCTCTGAGATACAGTACTCAGTGCAAAAACAATGCATAAAATGAAACTTACATGTTTTTTCATTGCTTTTGAAGCAATAAGGAAATGTCCATCTCAAGCTCACCTTTAGCTTTGGGTGGTTTGGGACTGGAAATACAGGTGAATTCTATAGCAGTATATTATCATTCACAAATCCTTTCTTCTCAGCACCTGCAATCCTCAACTATTTTCCTCCTCTCTCCTTGTCTCCTTTACTTCTGCATGTTTCCAACCATGGAGTCCCTCACCTTATTAACAATTTCGTCATCACACCCTGCCTTCTGGGGTGGGCAGTTCCCTTGCCCTCTGGGAAAAGTGATGCCTTACTGCATTCTGAGATAATAAAGCTCCATTGTGTTCTTGGGAAATGAGGGTTCCAGTCTTCTTGTGAAGACAGATGTCCCATTACATTGAAAATGACAGGAAGTTTGTGTACACAGGAAGAATACCATACTCCAAGTTCAGGAAAGATTTACAATTTTTTTGGTTTAAAAAATTTACTAAGAAGTTAGTTTTCCACTTAAATACTGAATTCATCTGTTTATGAAGCTTAAAACTGGATTACAATGGATGACTGTTATAAATAAATTTCCCCTTTTAGCATACTTTTCATAGCAGTAAAAATACTCGATGTACCTTACCATCTTGACAATTTTTCCATTGCATGCTAAAGAAAATGGCATCAATTACCTATGCTACTTCTTCCAGTTTCAATATACTATTTCTGGAGCCACAAGTCTTATAAATTCAAACCTGTAACATACATCCTATTTTGAAAACTGCATTTTACAAATGGATTTACAAGGATGAAAACAATAGTTACAAAAATATAAAAGGTAACAAACTCAGTATAAAATACTTAAGCTGACACCATTCCAAGTATATTTTGATCATTCTTAAATGTTATAGAGACCATAAATATATTCTGAAAGATACAGAACAAGTCCATAGACTATAGAAAATTAGTTAAATACTATTCCAGACAAATCTATGACTTTCAATTTTGATTTTCAATTCTGATTAAACATCAATTTCTTGCAACTGTGATGTCAATGGTAGAAAAGGCATTTCTTTCTCTTTTTTAAAATGTTTATTTCTAAGTCTCATTATATAACAAAATAAAGAATTAATATGTCACCTAAGATGGTTACAACATCAAATTTTTAAAGAAATATAGTATAGTAAATACATTAAAAAAAAAAAACGGAATTAAGACAATTTGGTTTTATAAACAATACTCATGGTAAATAAAGTTCTATTCTTCTTAAGTTGATGGTCAAAATTCCCAGTTATGTCTTCAGAAAATGAAACTGAATTCAATTTAGATCTGTAGGAACTTAGAAAGAAAGAGAACCCATGGAAGAAATAATTATTGTAACATAGGAATCTCTTCAGGATTACATGTCAACTTCTTTTAATGAAATAGCTTATACATTAGATTTTCTCAATTCTATTACTGTTAGTAAAATCTTCTGTTTCAGATGTTCTACTATGGGGAATATCCTTAAAAGTTCAGTATACCCTTCTGTCCTTTAACAATTAGATGAGGCACAGTCCTACCCAAATCTGTTCTCTGAGTGATTAGTCCAGGAGCAAAATTATATAACCTATAAACCTCCAGAAAAATGATCCAGAAGTTGTTAGGATTTTATGTAATGAAGGAAAAGTAAAATCTTATAAAAATGCACCAATCTACCCTGAATCCATGATTAGTTACACTTTTGATGCTTGACAAAGAAATTAAACTGTAATACTTTCTACCCCTGGGGAATCCTCGTATCTAGGATCTGCAAAGAAGTCTGTATGTTTAAGATAGATTAAGATATATAGTATAACCTATATATTAAACTTATATAAAACCAGCAGATTACTTTGTGTTTAAAAGTTTTTTAATGCACCTACACAAAGATACTAGCCTTCATAATTTTTGGAAACTCTGGTTATTATATTGCATGAACTTGGTCAAAAACAACTGCAAAAAATCATTTGTGTTTTTCTATGTGTGCATTGTTGTGTGTGCAACTATGAGATTTTTTTTCTGAACTATTTTTGTTGCACTGTGGTAAGAAAAAATCTAGATTGAATGTAAGCTATATAGTTTATTTTAATAGATAAACAGAAAATTCAGGATGTTTCCATTTAATTGAGTTAACAACAGAACAGTAGCAAGGCATTCAGTTCTGTGTCCTCATCACTTTTTTTAAGTTTGCACAAATAAACATGCAACAGACCAAACCAAGGATTCTGGGCAATTAACAATGCCTTCACAAAGAAATTAGTATTTCCTATACATTGCTCCTAATATCTGTCTCCACAATCAGGCTTTAAGAGTCTGCAGTAGGGCCAGCACACTGTGGAATAGTGGGCTAAGCTTCTGCCTTGAAGAGCAGTATCCATGCTGCTCCGTATCTGATCCAGCTACCTGCTAATGGCCTGTGAAATCCAGCTAAAGATGGCCCAAGCAGAAGGCCCCTGCCACCCATATGGGAGATCCAAATGAAGCTACCTAGACCAGCACTGGCTGCTGCAGCTATCTGCAAATGGAAGATCCTGTCTCTCTCTGTCTCTCTTCACATCTCTTTCAAAATAAGTAAATTAGCCCCTGCACCACATGGAAAAAGCTCCTGGCTCCTGGCTTCAGCTCAGCACAGATGCAGCCATTGCAGGACATTTGGGGAGTGAACCAGAAGATGGAAGGACCTCTGTCTCTCTCTCTCATACCTCTCGTAACTCTGCATCTCAAATAAACCTTTAAAAAAAGCAGCAATTTCAGTATATCACTAAGTTAGTTCAAACAAAATCTTCTACTATTTTATTTAACAGAAATATCTATTTAGATACTCTGCTTATACAAACTGTAACCATGCAAATCCACTGGAAAGTTAATAATTACTTTCAGAAGTGCTTGTCCAAGTATAAACACCTAGATTGGCTAGATTGTTTCTAATAATATTTCCAATTCACAGCTTTCCATTATGCATTAAGCACTCAACATTATTAGCAAACACACCCCCTCAACTTTAGGGTCATGTACTTACATCATCAATGTCTTCATCATCATCTCCAATATCATCAAACTGGATTTCATCATCATCTCCGGACCAGTTATCGGTTCATTGATTTTAGCTAAATAAATAGATAAATGCATAAAAAACATTCATTACCAATTAAAATGTATATTAAATGAGTAACCGCAAGAGTCTTATTATAGGCCAACCTTCCATTCAACCAAGTTCTGCTATTAGGAGCAAATATATTGCATTTTAGAGACCGGCGCCGTGGCTCAATAGGCTAATCCTCCACCTGGCGGCGCCGGTCAACCGGGGTTCTAGATCCCCGGTCGGGCGCCGGATTCTGTCCCGGTTGCCCCTCTTCCCGGCCAAGCTCTCTGCTATGGCCAGGGAGGATTGCAGTGGAGGGATGGCCCAGGTGCTTGGGCCTGCACCCCATGGGAGACCAGGAAAAGCACCTGGCTCCTGGCTCCTGCCAGGATCAGGCGGTGCGCCGGCTGCAACGCGGCGGCCATTGGAGGGTGAACCAGCGGCAAAGGAGACCTTTCTCTCTCTGTCTCTCTCTCTCCCTGTCCACTCTGCCTGTCAAAAAAAAATATATATATATTGCTTTATGAAGCTATATAAGCAATCTAACAACAAATCCCCCAGAAATTCATCTATTCCTAAGTCACTTACAACAGAGAATATATGTGCTGCACTTTTGTTCAGTGCAACATAATTTAATAACATTTTAAAAATTTAACAATTTTAAAACATCAAATGAGTATGACTAAACAACATGTAGTCACAGGAAGTATAAAACATCATGAGATTAAAACAACTAGTTCTACAACTACTGGAGAAAACTTAGCAAACCAGAGCAAGATTTAGTCAATCATGTTTATCATTTAAGAAATAACAGTGACGCATAGCTGGTGCTGTGGCATACTGGGCTAAGCATCTGCCTGCAGCGACACCATCCATATGGGCACCAGTTCAAGTCCTGGCTACTCCATTTCTGATCTAGCTCTCTGCTCTGCCTGTGGAAAGCAGTTGGAGATGGCTCAAGTCCTTGGGCCCCTGCACCCACATGGGAGACCCAGAGGAAGCTCCTGGCTCCTGGCTTCAGATCAGAACAGCTCTGGCCATTGCGGCCAATTGGAGAGTGAATCAGTGGGTGGAGGACCTCTCTCTCTCTGTCTCATCTCTATGTCTCTCTGTAATTTTGTCTTTCAAATAAATAAATAAATCTTTTTAAAATAAATACATAATAAAAGAGAAAAAGGAGGTGCTAGACTAATTCCAGACATCGGCACTTCCTCAAATGCAAAGAATTTCAATTGATTTTCAGATCTTTCTCTGTGTCTCCTCCCTCTCACTGGTCTGCAACTCTACCTCTCAGATAAATAAATAAAATCTTTTTAAGAAAATGAAAACTATGAGTCGGCTGAGAAATGTTAAATGGAAAAATGCTAATAATGTGTTACTTTGACAGACGTTTATACAAATCCAGGTTTCAAGTTTTGCAAACTTACAAACTCACCAGAAAGTGTATATATTTAATGTCACAGACAACTCCATGAAATTCCTTCAACTAACACAAAGAATGAAAATATCTATGACATAGCCGGCACCGCGGCTCAGTAGACTAATCCTCCGCCTTGCGGCGCCGGCACAACCGGGTTCTAGTCCCGGTCGGGGGCGCTGGATTCTGTCCCGGTTGCCCCTCTTCCAGCCAGCCCTCTGCTGTGGCCCGGGAGTGCAGTGGAGGATGGCCCAAGTGCTTGGGCCCTGCACCCCATGGGAGACCAGGAGAAGCACCTGGATCCTGGCTCCTGCCATCGGATCAGCGCGGTGCACCGGCCGCAGCAGCCATTGGAGGGTGAACCAACGGCAAAGGAAGACCTTTCTCTCTGTCTCTCTCTCACTGTCCACTCTGCCTGCCAAAATAAATAAATAAATAAATAAATAAATAAATAAATAAATAAATAAATAAAAGAAAAATAAAAAAAGAAAAAAAAGAAAATATCTATGACAGAGTAGATTAATAATAATAGACATTACCATGTTCAGGAAGCTCGCCATATGCCTTCAGACTTCTAGCTTCATCTGCGTTGTATTTTAAAATTACGTCTGCTTTGTTATCCTTAGAAATAAACAAACTTGTAAAACTCATAACACTGCACTGCTTTTCTTCCTTTACCCACCCGTACTCTAGTAAAAAATTCTAAAACAAATAGAAAAAAATATATAATTTTAAATAATTAAAAATATAGGACATCTGAGCCGGCGCCGTGGCTCAATAGGCTAATCCTCCGCCTTGCGGCGCCGGCACACCGGGTTCTAGTCCCGGTCGGGGCGCCTGATTCTGTCCCGGTTGCCCCTCTTCCAGGCCAGCTCTCTGCTATGGCCAGGGAGTGCAGTGGAGGATGGCCCAGGTGCTTGGGCCCTGCACCCCATGGGAGACCAGGAAAAGCACCTGGATCCTGGCTCCTGCCATCGGATCAGCACGGTGCGCCGGCTGCAGCGGCGGCCATTGGAGGGTGAACCAACGGCAAAGGAAGACCTTTCTCGCTGTCTCTCTCTCTCACTGTCCACTCTGCCTGTCAAAAAAAAAAAAAAGAAATATATAGGACATCTGTAATTTCATCTGAATAAAGTAGGACAGGGAAACAATCTTCTATTTTTCATAAATCACTAAAAACAAGCAGTAGTAACAAAACATCATAATGACATACAAAATATTCAGTTTCGAAAAACAACAAATTATGACTTAAGAACAGGTTTTTGGAAAACTAAAGAGGCTGGGACAACCCTCAAATCCTATAGGAAAACTAGATTGAGTTTCAGGTTCCTGGCTTTGGCTTATTCCAGCTTTGACTGCTCTGTGCATTCTGCGAAGTTTTTTTCTTTTTTTAAAGATTTATTTTATTTATTTGAAAGACAGATATACAGAGAAAGAGGAGGAGACAGAGACGTCTTCCAATGTTGGTTCACTGTCCAGTTGGCTGCAACAGCCAGAGCTGCACCTGGCTCCTGGATCGTGGAGCTCTGGCTGTTGCAGCCAACTGGACAGTGAACCAACGGATGGAAGATGTCTCTTTCTCTGCTTCTCTCTGTAAATCTTTCAAATAAAGGCCTTTCTTTCTCACTCACTGCTTCTGTCTCGGGCTCTCTGTAACTCTGCCTTTCAAATAAATAAATAAATATTTAAAATAAATACATATATAAATAGAAACTGTATTGACCAAGTCTTCTTACAAAAAATAAAAACAAATACACGATTAATAAATTGTAGTAAAAACACTATAGTGTTAAACAAAATGCAAACAGCAGAATGGTTAAAAACACACTGGCCTAGAATTGCCCAACAATGTTAATTCTGTGTTTCCTAACAATTAATGACTTGCTATGGAGGCTGCAACATAAATTTAAACTTAGTTTTTACCTGATACTCTCGGAGACCAATCAAAATAATGTCTGAGGTATTTATCCAAACCTATGAAACAGATTTTACAGCATATTATTTTCATTTGAAGATGATTTTAATGTTAAATGAATCTTTCCACAAAACACATACTACAAAGGGTTTTCCAACAGTTCAGAAAGAAATTAAAAAGAAATTCTGGTACCCAAAATATGAAATCCACACATAGGAAGTCTCTTCAAAAGTGTTCAAGTGAAATGGATACTATCATTAAACAATGTATACATTTCAAAAGGAATCTATAGGACTTCACATTCAAATTTCTCATACCATTTGCAGTTCTATTTAACTAAAATGTAACACATATAACTGAATGAATTACCCATCTCTTTTGTCACTTTTAAAACTAAAAAATTGTTTTTTTCACATTAACATTTAGTTGAATGTAGTACTGTAGAAATCATTTATCATTTCTATATTAACTATCCAGTAAACATTTACAGCTACAATATATAATTCTTTATACAAATAGAATCTTTGAGAAGTTTAATTTGTGTTCTCAAATAAATAACTGTTTCATTTTAAGTCTTTGGCAATTTACAAAATTGAACTGCTTGGCAAACAGTTGTATACCTGAAGTAAAGTAATTCTTTGCAGCAAATTTTATAATAAAAGAAATCTATACACCTACCTTCTTTCTCAATTTTCCTCTAATATGGCATAATCGCTTTACACCATCAAAGCACATTGCTTCTAATCGTCCATTTCCCAGCATTTTGATTACTTGTGCATACTCTGAGGAGAATAAAAGAGTTGCAAAAAATGTTCTTTGTTCTCATAAAAATCTCAGTGATTTTTTTCAAGATTTATTTATTGAAAAGTCAGACTTACAGAGACAGAGAGAAACAGAGCCAGACAGAAATACAGAGAGATTGCCCTTTTGTTGCTTTATTTCCCCAAGGGCCACAAAAAACTCTAGGCTGAGTCATTTTCTACTGCTTCTCTCAACCAACAACATCGGGCCCAATTTCAGTAGAAACAAGCCTAGGAATAAGCAATCTGATACAGTGGGCTGGGTTGCCTATATCACATGCCAAAGTCATCACCGCTCCAGTTCTGATGCAGCTTCCTGTTAATGTACCTGATGACCACACAGGAGAGCTAAATGGTGTTCTTGGCTGCAGGCTTCCACCTACCCAAGCCCTGGCTGTTATAACCACTTGTTGAAAGAAGTGGTGGTGGAAGATGTCCTTCTCCATGTCACCCTCTCTCTTTCTCTCTGTGTTTCAAAGAAATCTTTAAGAACATGAGTGCAACAACAAATGGTAGCTCTTTCTCTTTTTCTCAAAAAAAAGCCATTCTTTAAAAAAATCTGAGCCTGATTTAATTATTGCACATTTGTATATATGAATCTATTACCATACTATACCACAAAAATATGGGCAATTAAAACAATAATTTTAAAATAAAGAAAAAATAAAAATATGAATGATAGCACACAGCAATCTTCTAGAAATAATCAATAAACAAATAGAAGGGAAACAGATTACAAAATCCTCACAAGAGTAAAATTTCAGAACTCTATGACACAATATTGATGAATTTATAATTATATTTTCATTAATTTGAAAACCTAAATTGTGAAGTTTTCACATGTTAGCTGGTCACTTTTCCTGATTTCTGAGTTAACTGTCCAATGTGCATTTTTTTAAAGATTTTATTTATGGGGCCAGTGCTGTGGTGCAGTGGTTTAACACCCTGGCCTACAATACTAACATCCCATTTGAGCACCGGATTCTGTCCCGGTTGCCCCTCTTCCAGGCCAGCTCTCTGCTGTGGCCCGGGAGTGCAGTGGAGGATGGCCCAGGTGCCTTGGGCCCTGCACCCCATGGGAGACCAGGAGAAGCACCTGGCTCCTGTCATCAGATCAACGCGGTGCGCTGGCCGCAGCAGCCATTGGAGGGTGAACCAATGGCAAGGAGGACCTTTCTCTCTGTCTCTCTCTCTCACTGTCCACTCTGCCTGTCAAAAAATAAAATAAAAAATAAATAAAATGAAGTAAAAGTAAGAAAAGAGAGAAGTGAGCTGGCTTCAAGACCATGTCCGCCCGGAGTCGCAGAAACAGGACGCACACACAAACCCGGCCTGTGATTGGCCCCCGGTCTGAGACAGGGGGAAGCCATTGGCTGCCCGACGTGTCACCCAGGCGAGTCCAGCCCAGACGGAGGGCGAGGTCGGCGGCGAGGCTTCCGGGAGTTGTAGTCTCCCCGCTCCGCCCTGTCCAAGCCTACTGTGGCTGGACGGTGTGAAACCAGGACATTTGGCCCACAGATGATAAAAGCAAAATGATAATTTAGGTCAGGAAAATTAGATCAAGGAGCTTTATTTAAAAGAAAAGAGAGAAGAGAGCTGTGTGGAATCGCGGTTCAGCACCACTTCCGCCCCGAGCCGCTGAAACAGGAAGCACACGCCTGCCCAGCGTCTGATTGGTCCCCGCGTCTGAGACGGGGGGAGCCATTGGCTGTGAACTCGTCATTCTGCGCCCAGAACCCCACCCCCTGAGGCTCCACTGCCTGCTCTCGACTGGACGGGGAACCTGTTCTGAGAGGAGGAGCGTGGTGGGGGCAAGAGGTGCGGAGTCACCCCACGGACTCCGGGAGGCGGGTGAGAGCAGTCCTGAGGCGGGCAGCCAGCAGACTCGTTTATTTCAGTTGCTACAGCTGCTTCTATGGCCAAGACAGCCCATCCAGTCAAGGGGCGGTCTAGGCCCTGACCAATCACAGGCCTGTGGCCAGGCGGTTTCCAAAGCCATCCAATCACAGCCTGTGGCCAGGCAGGCTCTTGGTGCCAGGCAGGTTCTGAAACCATCCAGTCACGGCCTGCCATCACTCAGGCTCTGTTGTCATGTGGTTTCCTCTGTAGTCATGTGGTTTCAGAAGCCATCCAATCACGGCCTGGTGCCAGGCAATTTCTGTGGTCAGCGGCCATCTTGGCATGACCTTTTCCTCCTCGGCGGCCATCTTGGCATGACCTTTTTCCCTCAGTGGCTATCTTGACAGGACCTCTTCACCTTACGACCTTTTCACCTTACCCCTTGCCATAGTGCACAGGGAACCCTGTCAGCCTGCGACCAGACACTCCCCCTTAGCTCTCATGCCTGGACATTGTGGTCCAGGATCCTTTCCGTCTGTGGCCAAACCTGGGAACCTTTCCATCTGCGGCAGGAATCTCACGTCCTTGGCTCACCTGCCTGCCCCTGAGGGGACCAGGAACCTGTCGGTCAGCAGCCAGAGCCCACCCCCTTAGTCTCCACTGAGTGGCCCTGACGGGACCGGGAACCTGTCAGCCTGCTGACAGAACCCCACGTCATTGGCTCCGCTGACTGCCCCTGACAGCATGGGAACCTGTCAGTGTGTGACCGGAAACCAACCGCCTTAGCTCCTCTGCCTGCCCCTGATGGAGGTGGAATCCGTCACTCTGCGGCCAGAACCCCACATGCTTGGTTCCACTGACTTCCCCCTAATGGACCCAGAACCTCTCAGCCTCTGGCCAGACCCCACCTCCTTGGCTCCCCTTCCTGCCCCTGATGGGACCGGGAATCTGTCAGTCTGCCGCCAAAACCCCACCCCTTACCTCCCCTGCCTGGCCGTTCTGGACCGGGAACCTGTCAGTCTGCCACCAGAACCCCACCTCCATGGCTTCCCTGACTGCCACTGACAGAACTGAAACCCTGTCAGTCTGCGTCCAGAACCCCGCCTCCTTAGCTCCCCTGCCTTTCCCTGATGGGACCAGGAACCTCTCAGTCTCTGAGCAGAACCCCACTCCATCTGCTCCCCTTCCTGGACATCCTGCACCGGGACCTGTCAGTCTGACTCCAGAACCCAAACTCCTTAGGCTCCCCTGCCTGCCCCTAACAGCACCGGGTCATGTCAGTCTGCGACCAGAGGCTCACCTGTCTGCCCCTGACTCGACCTGGAACCTGTCAGTCTGCGGCAGGAATCCCACGTCCTTAGCTCCCCTGCCTGCCCCTGACTGGACCAGGAACCTGTCAGTCTGCAGCCAAAGCCCCACCCAGCTTGGCTCCACTGAGTGCTCTTGACAGGACCGGGAACGTGTCAGTCTGTGGCCAGAACCCCACGTCCGTAGCAGACCGCCTGCCTTTGATAGACCTGGAACCTGCAGTCTGCAGAAAGAACCCCACCACCCTGCCTCCCTGTCCTACTCCACACGGACATGGAACCTGAAAGTCTGCCGCCAGAACCCCACATCCTTAGCTCCTTTGGCTGCCCCTGAGGGGACCAGGAGCCTGTCAGTCTGCATGCAGACTTCATGTCCTTAGCTCCCCTTATTGCCCCTGACTGGACCAGGAACCTGTCAGTGTGCAGCCAAACCCCACATCCTTAGCTCCACTGCCTACCCCTGTTGGAAATGGAACCCATGAGTCTGTGGCCAGAACCCCACCCACTTTGGCTCCCCTGCCTGCCCTTGACGGACTGGGAACCTGTCAGTTGCGGCCAGAACCCCATGTCCTTAGCTGCCCTTACTGCCCCTGACTGGACCGGGAACCTGTCAGTGTGCAGCCAGAACCCCACATCCTTAGCTCCACTGCCTGCCTCTGTTGGACCCAGTACCTGTAAGTCTGCGGCTAGAACCCCAGCTCCTGGGCTCATTTCCCGCCCCAGATGGACCCGGAATGTGTCAGTCTGCCACTAGAACCCTAACTTCTTTGCTCCCCTGACTTGCCCCTAACTGGAGCAGGAACCTGTCAGTCTGCAGCCAGAACCCCACCCTCTAGTCTCTGCTGAGTGCTCCTGACAGGACCGGGCACCAGTCAGTCTGCGGCCAAAACTCCACCCCCTTAGCTCCCTTGCCTGACCATACTGGACCAGGAATCTGTCAGTCTGTGGCCAGAACCACACGTAGCTAACTCCCCTTCCTGGCGTCACTGGACCGAAACGTGTCACTCTGAGGCCAGAACCACCCTCCTTGGCTCCCCTGACCGCCACTGATGGGACCGGGAACCCGTCAGTCTGCAGCCAGAACCCCAACCCTTGAGGCTCCAGTGAGTCCCCCTGATGGGACTGGGATCCTTTCAGTCTGCGGACAGAACTCCACCCCTTAGCTCCCAGGCCTGCCCCTGACTAGACCTGAACCTGTCAGTCTGTGGCCAGAACCAACCTCCTTGGCTCCCCTGACTGCCCGCGATGGGACCAGGAACCTGTCATGCTGCTGCCAGAACCTTAGCCAGAACGCCTTAGCTTCCCTGCCTGCCCCTGACTGGACCTGGAATCTGTCAGTCAGTCTGCGGAAGGAACCCCATGTCCTTAGCTCCCTGCCTACTCCTGATGGGACCAGAGACCTGTCGTCATTCTGTGGCCAGAACCCCACCTCCGTAGGCTACGCTGCCCGCCCCTGACTGGACCAGGAACTTGTGAGTCTGCAGCCAGAACCCCACCCCATCAGCACCCCTACCTACCCTTGATGGACCCGCAACTGTCACCTGTGGCCAGAACCCCGCCTCCTTAGGCTCCCCTGCCTACCTGTGACGGGACTCGGAACCTGTCAGTCTCGACCAGAGCCTAACCTGCGTGGCTCCCCTGACTTTCCCTGAGGGGGCCAGGAACCTGTCACTCTGTAGCCAGAACCCCACCTCATTGGGCTCCCCTGACAGCAACGGGAACCTGTCAGCCTGTGGCCAGATCCCCATGTCCTCAGCTCCCCTGCCTGCCCCTGATAGACCTGAACCTGTCAGTCTGTGGCCAGAACCAACCTCCTTGGCTCCCCTGACTGCCCGCGATGGGACCAGGAACCTGTCATGCTGCTGCCAGAACCTTAGCCAGAACGCCTTAGCTTCCCTGCCTGGCCATATGGACCGGGAACCTGTCCATGTGCGGCCAGAACCCCACATGCTTAGCTCCCCGGCTTGTCCCTGACTAGACAGGGAACTTGTATGTCTGTGGCAGGAACACCATCCTCTTACACCACCCTGCCTGCCCCTGACTGGAACCAGAGCCTGTCATTCTGCGGCCAGAACCCCACCTCCTTGGCTCCCCTGACTGCCTCTTTCTGGCCTGAGAACCTGACAGTCGAGCACTACAAGCCCACCTCTTGGATCCCCTGCCGGCCCTTGATGGAACTGGGAACCTGTCCGTCTGGGGCCAGAACCCCACCTCCTTGTCTCCCCTGCCTGCCGCTGATGGGACTGGTAGCTTGCCAGTCTAGGGCCAGAAACGCCGTCTTGGGCTCCCCTGCCTGCCCCTGACAGGACCGGGAACCTGTCAGTCTGCGGCAGGAACCCCAAGTCCTTAGCTCTCCTGCCTGCCCCTGACTGACCCAGAACCTGTCACTCTGCGACAGTTCCTGATCCAGTCAGGGGCACTCAGTGGATCCTAAGGGAGTGGTTTCTGGCTGCTGCAGACTGAGAGGTTCCCTATCCCATCAGGGACAGGCAGGGGTCTAAGGAGGTGTGGTTCTGGTCACAGTCTGACAGGTTCCTGGTCCTGTCATGGGCAGGCGAGGGAGCTCATGGTGTGGGGTTTGGGCCGCAGACCGACAGTTTCCCTGTCCAGTCAGGGGCAGGCAGGGAACCAAGACGTGGGTTTCTGGCCGCAGACCAACAGGTTCCCATTGTCATCGGTGGCAGGCAGGGGAGCTAAGCAGGTGCAGTTCTGGCGGCAGACTGACAGGTTCCTGTGCCCGTCAGGGGCGGGCAGGGGAGCCCAGGAGGTGGGGTTCTGGCGGGAGACTGGCAGGTTCCGGGTGCCGTTAGGGGCGTCAGGAGAGCTAAGGGGCTGGGTTTTGATAGCAAACTGACAGATTCCTGGTTCAGTCAGTGGACCCGCGAGGGAGCGAAGGGTGTGGGGTTCTGGCTGCAGACTGACAGGTTCCCTGTCCAGTCAGGGGTACTCAGTGGAGCTTAAGGGGGTGGGGTTATGGTGGCAGACTGACAGGTTCCTGGTCGTGAATGGATAGGCAGGGGAGTTAAGGCGGTGGAGTTCTGAACAGACTGAGGTTTCCTGGTCCCATCAGGGGCAGGCAGGGGAGCTGAGGATGTGGGGTTCTGGCCACAGACTGACGAGTTCACAGTCCTCTCAGGGGCATGCTGGGGAACTAACAAGGTGGGGTTCTATGTGCTGACTGACAGGTGTCCGGTCCTGTCAGGGGCACTCAGTGGAGCCTAAGAGGGTGGGGGTTCTGGCTGCAGACTGACAGTATGGACGGCCCAGTATGGACAGGCAGGGCAACTAAGGACCCTGGTTTCCTGCCGCAGCCTGACAGTTCCAAGTACCGTCAGGGGCATGTGGGAGCTGGCGAGTGGGGGGTTCTAGATGCTAGCTAACAGGTTCCTCATCCAGTCAGGGGCATTCAGTGGATCCTAAGGGAGTGGGTTTCTGGCTGCAGACCGAGAGGTTCCCCGTCCCATCAGGGGCAGGCAGGGGAGCTAAGGGGGTGGGGTCCTGGCGGCAGACTGACAGGTTCCCGGTGCAGTCGAGAGCAGGCAGTGGAGCCTCAGGGGGTGGGGTTCTGGGCGCAGAATGACGAGTTCACAGCCAATGGCTCCCCCCGTCTCAGACGCGGGGACCAATCAGACGCTGGGCGGGCGTGTGCTTCCTGTTTCAGCGGCTCGGGGCGGAAGTGGTTCTGAACCGCGATTCCACACAGCTCTCTTCTCTCTTTTCTTTTAAATAAAGCTCCTTGATCTAATTTTCCTGACCTAAATTATCATTTTTCTTTTATCATCTGTGGGCCGTATGTCCTGGTTTCACACCGTCCAGCCACAGTAGGCTTGGACAGGGCGGAGCGGGGAGACTACAACTCCCGGAAGCCTCGCCGCCGACCTCGCCCTCCGTCTGGGCTGGACTCGCCTGTGTGCGTCCTGTTTCTGCGACTCGGGGCGCACATGGTCTTGAACCCAGCTCACTTCTCTCTTTTCTTATTTTTACTTTATTTTATTTTTTTTATTTTATTTTTTGACAGGCAGAGTGGACAGTGAGAGAGAGACAGAGAGAAAGGTCTTCCTTTGCCGTTGGTTCACCCTCCAATGGCTGCTGCGGCCGGCGCACCGCGCTGATGCGATGGCAGGAGCCAGGTGCTTTTCCTGGTCTCCCATGGGGTGCAGGGCCCGACACTTGGGCCATCCTCCATTGCATTCCCTGGCCACAGCAGAAAGCTGGCCTGGATGAGGGGCAGCCGGGACAGAATCCGGCGCCCCGACCTGGACTAGAACCTGGTGTGCCGGCGCCGCTAGGCGGAGGATTAGCCTAGTGAGCTGCAGCGCCGGCCTATTACCTACATCTTTAGAATCCTACCTGGTAAAGGCAAAACAGAAGAAGAGGGCTGGTTGTTAACCATATCCGTAACTTACCTCCTGCCTTTTGTTCTTTGGCTGCAGGACACATTTCATGATTTTATTTTCATTTCATTCACACCACTTTTTTTAAAATTGACAATTATCCCGGTTTATTTTAAATAAGCAGAAAATTCCAAATGGCCTTTAAGATGACTGTGGTTTGCTTTCATGCTTACTTATAGTTTCCACTAAAAAAGTACCAATCTCTGGCAGGAAAAACATGTCATCCTACCTGTAGATAAGGACAGCAGGAATAAGCCCAACATTTTTCTTTTTCCAAAGCTGTGACATAAGCCTGGGGCTGTGGTGTTAGCACGTTAAGCCTCTGCCTGTGGCGCCGGCATCCCGTATGGGCGCGGGTTCGAGTTCCAGCTGCTCCACTTCTGATCCAGCTTTCTGCTGTGGCCTTGGAAAGCAGTGGAAGATGGCCCAAGTCCTTGGGACCCTGCACCCGCGTGGGAGACTCAGAAGAAGCTCCTGGCTCCTGGCTTTGGATCAGTCCAGCTCTGGTGGTTGTGACCATCTGGGGAGTGAACCAGTGGATGGATGGAACCCCGCCCCCCCCCGTAACTCTGCCTCTCAAATCAATCAATCAATCTTATGTCCACAACAGCCAGGGCTGGGCTAGGCTGAAGCCAGGAGAGTGGAACTCCATTGGGGTCTTCCACGTGGGTGGCAGGGACCCAAGGACTTGGGCCACCACCTGCTGCCTTCCCAGGAGCGTTAGCAGAAGCTGGAATGGACGTGGAGGCGGGACTAGAACTGGCATCCTGAAACAGAATGTGGGTGTCCCCTGGGCACTCTGGCTTTGGCCTGGCCCAGCCCTGTATATTGTGTGCATTTGGGGGGTGGACCAGTAACCAGCAGAGAGCAGATTCCCCCCCACTCTGCTGTTGCTCTGCCTTTCAAGTAGATGAAGCCAAACATGCTTTTAAAAATTCATAGAGGCCGGCGCAGCGGCTCACTAGGCTAATCCTCCGCCTTGCGGCGCCGGCACACCGGGTTCTAGTCCCGGTCGGGGCGCCGGATTCTGCCCCGGTTGCCCCTCTTCCAGCCCGGCTCTCTGCTGTGGCCAGGGAGTGCAGTGGAGGATGGCCCAAGTGCTTGGCCCCTGCACCCCATGGGAGACCAGGAGAAGCACCTGGCTCCCGCCATCGGATTGGCACAGCTCCCGCCACGGCGGCCATCTTGGAAGGTAAACCAACGGCAAAAGGAAGACCTTTCTCTCTGTCTCTCTCTCTCACTGTCCACTCTGCCTGTCAAAAAAAAATTCATAGAGAATGGAATTTTGGTGCAAAAAAAGATTGAAGTCCATGTGTAGTTTTTTCACAATCCTTTTTCCATAAATTTTTTTGAAGGTCCCTTGAACTCAAACAAGTCTAGAAGCTAATACAACGGACACGTTACATCACCGTTCCCAGCCTTAGGGCCAGATTTGGAATATTACCTGTGCCCCAAACGAGGAGCTATAAAACAGCTTTACATATCGGGGAAGAAAGAGTGCAAATGTCGGGGCAGAGAGGAGGGATGAGGAGACAGAGGCGCGCACTCACGTCGCTCTTCTCGGTGCTTCTCAGTCGTCGCGAAGTACCGGCGCAGCTCCTCGGTGATCTCCATGTTGCTCAGGTCGCATTCCACCTCCGCATCCGACTCAGACTCCAGCTCCTCCTCCTCCTCCTCCTCCTCCTCCTCGGACACAGTCTGGTCTTTTCTCATGGACACCTGCATCCTACCGCTGCCATGTGGAAGCCGCCCGTACCTTTCACGAGGTGAGTAAGAGAATTTTTTTTTAGAATTTTTCCGAGGTGTTCTAGAATGTACCAGAACATCACCAAGTGAGTCTGGGGGGATTCTGGGATCCGGGTCTGAGTAGAAGTTTCCCGGCTGGGTGTGACGGGCGTCCTGGTGCCGGCCTGGCCCTGCGGACATTGACGTGACATCCCGCGCCCACCGGGGCTGCGGAAACTTCCAGCACGTCGGCAGAGGGTCTCAGACCTCCCAGGACGCTCGCTGGGTTCTCTGGAACATACTGGAACATTCTACAACATTCCAAGACCCCAAAGATACTCTCCAAGCGGTCCAGGGCTTCCTATGAACATTCTAGAAAATTCTACGTCATCCGCCAGTATTCCGGAACACTCCAAGACCAGGCGCTCTAGAATACTCTAAGGCCCCGAGGACGTGCGCCGGGCTCTCTGGGCGTGTTCTAGAACGTTCCGGAACATTCCACAGAATTCCTCGCGATTCCAAGGACATTCCCTGGGCATTCTAGAACATTCTGGAATCCTGGAAACACCCACCAGGGGTTCTGGAAAATTCCAAGGCCCAAGAACGCACGACAGACTCTCCCAGAATTCCCTGGGAGCACTGACCGTTCCGGAACGTCCCTGGTGTCCACCAGGATGTTTGCACAACCTTCGGCCCCGCCAACTCCTCCCCCAGCCCTGGCAATAAATAGACGCCGGGTCCCCGCCGGCTCAGACGACGACGAAGACGATGGTGATGAAGATGACGGTGACGAAGGCTCTCCTCCTCGCCCTCACGGTGGGCGTGGCCTGTGCGGACGTCGACCCCGCCCAGGTATCATAAATTTGCATCATTAGTTCCCAGTATTAATTCTCGTCATGAATTCATATCATTTCTTCACATCATTACTTCGCATCACTAATTCGCGTTGTTTCTTCAGCCGTATCATTAATTCGCGTCATTTCTTCACCTCCCCAGCTCTCCGGGCCCTGGCGCACCTCCGCCATGGCCTCCGACAACCTGGAAATGATCCTGGAGGGTGGGCCATTCCGGATGCTGTTCCGCGAGATGGAGTGCAACGAGGAATGCAACGCCCTGAACGTCTTCTTCTACGTCAAGTGAGGGGCGGGGCCAGGGGAGACAAGCTGAGGCCAGAGACAGAGAGCCAGGGGGGAGCAATCGAGCCCAGAGAGCGGGGAAGACAGGCGCCGCCAAGCCCAATCGATCCCAGAGAGAGAGAGAGAGAGCAGGCCAGGGCGACCAGCCGAGCCCAGAGAGAGAGCAGACAGGAATAGTTGAGCCCAGAGTCAGAGAGCATGTGGGCTAGAGGGGAGTAATGGAGCTGAGAAAGAGCAGACAGGAGTAGTTGAGCCCAGAGTCAAAGAGCAAGCCAGGGGGGACCAGCCGAGCCCAGGGAGAGTGAGCAGACAGGAGTAGTTGAGCCCAGAGTCAGAGAGCATGTGGGCTAGAGGGGAGTAATGGAGCTGAGAGTGAGCAGACAGGACCAGCCGATCCCAGAGTCAAAGAGCAGTCCATGGTGGACCAGCTGAGCCCAGAGAGAGAAAGAGTAGACAGGAGCAGTTGAGCCCAGAGTCAGAGAACAGGTGGGCTAGAGGGGAGTAATGGAGCTGAGAGAGAGCAGACAGGACCAGCCGATCCCAGAGTCAAAGAGCAGGCCATGGTGGACCAGGCGAGCCCAGAGGGAGAGCAGACAGGAGCAGCCGATCCCAGAGTCAAAGAGCAGGCCATGGTGGACCAGGCGAGCCCAGAGGGAGAGCAGACAGGAGCAGTTGAGCCCACAGCGAGCGGCCATGTTCCCGGTCTCTCCTTCAGGAAGAACGAGGTATGCACCCCGCACACGGTTGTGGCCCAGAAGAACGCAGACGGCATCTACACCACTGACTGTGAGTACAGAGCATTTCGGAAAGTTCCAGACAATTCCAGATGACCCCAGGGACTGTCCAGTGTGTTCCAGAATGTTTGAGAATGTTCCCAGAAATGTTCCAGGATGCTGCAAATGTCCCAGAATGCTCCAGTTCCTCAATGTTCTAGAATGTTCCAGAATGCGCTAGAATGTCCCAGCATGCCCCGGCACATCCAGAACACCCACCTCTCTCCCTACAGTCGAGGGCCAGACCTCCTTCCAGTTCCACGAATTGGATCCCGTTAGGCAAATCGTCTTCATCAATAACATGGGGTCCAAAGGCAAGACCAGCCGCCTCAGCTTCCTTGTGGGTGAGCCCCCCTCACACACACATGTACACTGCCGGTGCCCGCTAGGGATACGCTCCACGACCCGAGAGTCTGAGCCCGACTGTATACGGGGAAAGGGGGGCTGCATGGCCAGGCATATACAGTCGGTGCCCACTGGATAAAGCGAGTGTATACAGTCAGTGCCCACTAGACATGGTGGGCATATACAGTCGGTGCCCACTAACGCTAGCATATACAGTTGGCGCTCGCTAGATGGGGTGAGCGTATACAGTCACTAAAGTGAGTGTATGCAGTAGGCGCACACTAAAGCGAGCGTACTCAGTCGGCGCCCACTCTTGCCACAGTCAATTGAATATCATAAATGAGGACCCACCAGAGGACTACGCGAGGCTCACGGAGCAGAATGGGATCCCGCGGAAGTACATCCGGCGTGTGGCCGACACAGGTGAGGCTTCGGCGGCTTCCGGGCTGACTTGGCGCTGACTCGGCGCTGACTCGGCTTTCCTCTCTCTCCAACAGACACCTGTCCACCCTGAGGACGCCTCCCTTGGAGAAGGTGCCAGAACGTTCTAGACCATTCCAGAACCGCCCCTGATCGCCTCACCATCTCCTCCCACCTGCGAACGCGCTAGCATGCTCCGGAACATTCTAGAACGTTCTGGATTGATCCAAGATGGTCTGGATTGTTCCAGAATTTCTAGAAAGCTCCGGAACATTCTAGAATCGGCCGTCCCCAGCTTTCTCTGCTTCCTGTTCATGGAATAAACTCATCCCAGGCACAGTCCCAGTCGTTTATTTTAAACGATTTTTATTGTTCCGTCAAAAGACAGAGCGAGCTGGTGGAGGAACCCAGGGGCTACCTCCGGGTCTCCCTGCACTGTCAGTCACCGTTCACTGACAAGGGGGTGGGCTCTGTCATCTGGTGGCTGTCAAACAGCCCTGAGTGACACTGGGGGGGTTCTCCCCGACTCCACTGGCAGCCAGTCACACTCCACCAGGATCCCAGGGCCACATCCGGGTCCCCATGGCCACATCCGGGTCTCCAGGGCAATATCCGGCTCCCCAGGGCTCCATTTGTGTCCGCAGTGACACATCCAGGTCCCCAGGAGCACATCCTGGTCCCCAGGGCCACATCCGGGTCTAAGTGCTCCATCCGGGTCTCTGGGCTCCATCTGGGTCCCTAGGGCTCCATCCGGGTCTCTGGGCTCCATCCGGGACTCCTGGCTCCATCCGAGTCTCTGGGCTCCATCGGGGTCTCTGGGCTCCATCTGTATCTCTGGGCTCCATCCGGGTCTCTGGGCTCAATCCAAGTCTCTGGGCTCCATCCGGGTCCCTAAGGAAACATCCGGGTCCCTAAGGCTCCATCCGGGTCTCTGTGCTCCTTCAGGGTCACTAAGGCTACATCCGGGTCCTTAAGGTTCCTTCCGAGTCCTTAAGGCTCCATCCAGGTCTCTGGACCACTTCCGGGTCGCTGGGCTCCATCCGGGTTTCGGGGCTCCAACCGTGTCCCTAAGGCTGCATCCAGTCTCTGGGCTCCATCCCAGTCTCTGGGCTCCACCCTGATCTCCAGAGCCACATCCAGGTCCCAAGGGCCACATCCAGGTCCCAAGGGCCACATCCGGGTCTCCAGGGCCACATCCGGTTCCCCAGGGCTCCATCCGGGTCTCCAGGGCCACATCCGGGTCCCCCAGGGCCACATCGTGGTGTCTAGGGCCACATCCCGGTCTCCATGGCCACATCCAGGTCTCCAGGGCTCCCTCCAGGGCAACATCTGTGTCCCAGGGCTCCACCCGGGTCCAGGGCTACATCCAGGTCCCCAGAGCCACATCCAGGTCTCTATGGCCACATCCAGGTCCCCAGGGCCACATCCAGTCTCCCAGGGCTCTACCCGGGTTTCCCAGGGCTACATACGGGTCCCCAGGGCCACATCTGGGTCCCCAGGGCCACACCAGGGTCCAGGGCCACATCCGGATCTCCAGGGCTCCCTCCAGGGCCATATCTGGGTCCCAGGGCTCCACCCAGGTCTCTGGGCTCTCTCCAGGTCTCTGAGCTACATCCGGGTCCCTAAAGCTCCATCCTGGTCTCTGGGCTCCATCCGAGTCTCTGGGCTCCATCTGGGTCCCTAAGGCTCCATCTGCATCCCTAAGGCTCCATGCGGGTCTCTGGGCTCCATCCAGGTCCCTAAGGATCCATCCGGGACTCCTGGCTCCATCCGAGTCTCTGGGCTCCATACGGGTCTCTGGGCTCCATCTAGGTGTCTGGGCTCCATCCGTATCTCTGGGCTCCATCTGGGTCCCTAAGGCTCCATCCACATCTCTGGGCTCTATCCGAGTCTCTGGGCTCCATCCGATTCCCTAAGACTCCATCCAAGTCCTAAAGCTCCATCCAGGTCTCTGGGCTCCATCCAGGTCTCTGGGCTCCATCCGGGTTCCTAAGGCTCCATCCGGGTCCATAAGGCTCCATCCGGGTCTTTGGGCTCAATGCGAGTCTCTGGGCTCCATCTGGGTCCCTAGGGCTCCATCCCGGTCTCTGGCTCCATCTGGGTCTCTGGGCTCCATCCGGGTCTCTGGGCTCCATCCGGGTCTCTGGGCTCCATCCGGTTCCTATGGCTCCATCCGGATCTCTGGGCTCCATCCGGTTCCAATGGCTCCATCCGGATCTCTGGGCTCCATCTGGGTCCCTAAGGCTCCATCCGGGTCTCTGGACTCCATCCCGGTCTCTGGCTCCATCCGAGTCTCAAGGCTCCATCCATATCTCTGAGCTCCATCTGGGTCCCTAGGGCTCCATCCCGGTCTCTGGCTCCATCTGGGTCTCTGGGCTCCATCCGGGTCTCTGGATTCCATCCGGGTCCCTAAGGCTCCATCCGGGTCTCTGGGCTCCATCTGGGTCTCTGGGCACCATCCAGGTCTCTAAGGCTCCATCCACGTCTATGGGCTGCATCCGAGTGTCTAGGCTCCATCCGGGTCCCTAAGACTCCATCGGGGTCCCTAAGGCTCCATCCGGGTCTCTGGGCTCCATTCGGGTCTCTGGGCTCCATTCGGGTCTCCAGGGCTCCACATAGGGACCCAGGGCCACAATCCGGTTCCCCAAGGGACATATCGGGGTCCCCAGGGCCACATCCAGGTGTCTCAGGCCATTACCGGTTCTCCAGGGCCACATCCGTGTCTAGGGCCACATCCGGGTCTAGGGCCACATCCAGGTCTCCAGGAACATCTGGGTCTCCAAGGCCACATCAGCATGATCAGGGCCACATCCGGGTCTCTAGGACTCTCTCCAGGGCCACATCCAGGTCTCCATCACTATATCCGGCTCTCTATGGCGCCATCCGGGTCTCCGGGGTCACATCCGGATCTCCAGGGCCACATACGGGCTCCCAGGGCCACATCCGGGTCCTTAGAGTCACATGGGGGTCTCCAGGGCCACACCCGGGTCTCTAGGGCCACATCTGCGTCTCCAAGGACCGCATCCAGGTCCCCCAGGTCCACATCCTGGTTGCCAAGGCCACATCGGGGTCTCCCAGGGCTCCATCCAGGTCCACATCAGGTCCCCAGGGCCACATCCGGTTCTCCCAGGGCCACATTCTGGTCCCCATGTCCCACACCCGGGTCCCAGGACCACATCCAGGTCCCTAGGGCCATATCAGGGTCTCCAGGGCTCCATCAAGGCCTCTAAGGCTTTATCCAAGTCTCTGGGTTCCATCAGAGTCTCTGGGCTCCATCCGTATCTCTGGGCTCCATCCGGGTTCCTAAGACTCCATCTGGGTCTCTGGGCTCCATCCGAGCCCCTAATGCTCTATTTCACTCTCTGGGCTCCATCCAAGTCTCTGGGCTCCATCCAGGTCCCTAAGACTCCACCAGGGTCCCTAAGGCTCCATCCGGGTCTCTGTGCTCCATCCGGGTCTCTGTGCTCCATCCGGGTCCCTAATGCTCCATCGGGGTCCCTAAGGCTCCATCAGGGTCTCTGGGCTCCATTCGAGTCCCTAAGATTCCATCCGGGTCCCTAAGGCTCCATCCAGTCCCTAAGCCTCCATCAGGGTCTCTGGGCTCCATCCGGGTCTCTGGGCTCCATCCGGGTTCTTAAGGCTCCATCTTGTGTATAAGGCTCCCTCCGAGTCTCTAGGATCAATCCAGGTCCCTAAGGCTCCATCGAGGTCTCTGGGCTCCACCAGGGTCTCCGGGCCACATCCGGGTCCCCAGGGCCACCTCCAGGTCTCTGGATTCCGTCGGGTTCTCTGGGCTCCATCCGAGTCTCTGAGCTGCATCCGGGTCTCTTGGCTCCTTCCGGGTACCTATGGCTCCATCCGAGTCTCTGAACTCCATACGGGTCCCTAAGACTCCATCCGAGTTCCTAAGGCTCTATCTGGGTTCCTAAGGCTCCATCCCAGTCTATGGATTCCCTCCGGCTTGCACAGAGCGAAGCCGGGAGACTACACCTCCCCGAAGCCTCAGCGGCGGCGGCGACGCTCTACGTGTGGGCTGTACTGCCCTGAGTGACAGGTAGCCGACCCAATGGCTTCCCCGGTCTCAGACTCCGGACCGCTCAGACGTGGGGTGGGTGTGTGCTTCCTGTTCGGAGGCATCTGCTCGGGGCGGAAATGCTGTGGAAAGGAACCGTGTTTCAACCCAGCTGTCTTCTTTCTCTTCTTTTAAAGAAAGCTCTGAGGCCTAATTTTCCTGACCTAAATGATCATTTTCGTCTATCATCTGTGGGCCATATTTCCTGATTTCACATTGCCCAGCCACCCTCTGCTTGGACAGGGTGGACCGGGCAGACTACAACTCCCCAAAGCCTCAGCGGCAGGGCGCTCTGCGGCTGGGCTCGTCTGAGTGACAGGTCGGGACAGCCATTGGCTTCACGCGGTCTCAGACTCCGTTGCCAATCAGATGCTGAGTGGTTGTGTCGCCCTGTTTCTGCGGCTCGGGGCGGAAATGGTGTGGAAAGGAACCGCCTCGAGCCACGCCCCTCGCGGCTCCTGACTGGACGCGGGAAGTGACGTCTGCGCGCACCACGCGGCAGTCGTCCCGCCCATGTCCAGCTCGGAACAGGACCGGGCAGCTTCGGGTCTGGGTCCCGCACGTCCCTGGCAGCCCCTGAGCGGGCGCGTACCCGCCTGTCCGTCCGCCAGAACCTCGCCCTGTAGCTTGGCCCTGCCTGCCCTTGTCTGGGAGGAGGAACGCGCAGTAGGAGCCTAGAACCTGTCTTCTGCGACGCTGCCTGCCCGCGCCCAGCACGGGCGGGACAGGCCGGACTGTTCCTCCTCCTCCATCAGAGCCACTCAGGCCGGGCAGAGGGCGAGGTTCTGAACCTAGACCTGCGCCTCACTCGTCCAGGGAGGCCAGGCAGCCACCGGCGAGGAAGGAGGTGGCGTTCTGAGCGCGCACTGGAAAAAGTCATTAGCGGCAGTGCAGAGGGCGGGAGGAGGCGCCCTCCGGCAGATTCCGGGTCGCGTTAGGGGCAGCAGGAGCGCTAAGGGGGTGGGTGCTGGCGGGAGACTGACAGATTCCCGGTCCAGTCAGGGGCAGAAGGAGCGCCAAGGGGGTGGGGTGCTGGCGGGAGAGTGACAGGATCCCGGTCCAGTCAGGGGCAGGCAGCACCGCCAAGGGGATGGGGTTTAGGCGGGAGACTGACAGGTTCCCCGTCCAGTCAGGGGCAGAAGGAGCGCCACGGGGGTGGGGTGCTTGCGGGAGAGTGACAGGATCCCGGTCCAGTTAAGGGCAGGCAGAACGGCCAAGGGGGTGGGGTTTAGGCGACCGACTGACAGGTTCCCCGTACAGTCAGGGGT